ACCGACCCCCCCCGAAAGGGGGGGGCGCCACGCCGGCTGCTGCGGATGAGAACCAGAAATCAAAGCACAAGGCACCGGGGGAAGCCTTGCCTCGCCCCGTGAAGTGGCTGTCCTACACCATTCGCTGCACATCTGGCTGTCAGCACAAGGGTAGAGAAGATTTTACAGGAAAAAAAGGTCTAGGGGCACGAAACACCGCAGAGCTCCGCACCGCGAGCGGTTTATGACAGATCTCACAGCGCTTTACAGACACCAGCGCCGAGAACGCGACGGGGTACACACGGGGAACCCGGGGACGGGCCGGGGCGGAGGCACGGCGGCGAGAACACGGACCAGCAGCGCGCAGAGACCCGACCTCCCTCCCCTTGGCGCGGGAAGCCAGGAGAGCAAGCACTCCAGCACGGCTCCGGTCCTGTTCTCCGAGAGAAGCAGAGACGCAGCGTATCCACTTATCAGGGAGGATCCTTCTCGCAGGGGTGCGATGCTGCCGGGTCCAGAGCTTGGCTGGGAGGAGACACGGTCCCCAAATCCCACCACAGGGCCGCCGCCGCCTGCTCCTCGGCAGAGTTCAGAGCCCTCCCGCGCTCCTCGGGGAGGAACAGCCGCGCACGGCGCCGGGTCGATCTGGAGCAGACCATCGCCAAGCGCTTCGCGCTGCCGCAGCTCAGCCCCCCGCGCTCCCCTCACCGCCTCTAACGCTACAGCTGGGACAGGCACTCCCGTCCCTCCAAGTCACCTGAACCACCCCTTGAATTAGCGCTCCAGCACATTAATTAGCTCCTTACGAACTCAGTTACGACCACTGGCTCTGCCTGGACCCCGTGGGTCAGAACCCAGACTCGTATGGCAGAGGGGACTGTGACCCCCGCGCCTCCCCCGCTCCCCTCCCAACCCCTCCGCAGTCAGAAAGCGCCTCTCTCTCCGAACACCGCTTCAGCTCAGTCAAACCAGTCTCCCCAGGTCTCCTTTCGCGAAGGAAAACGTTCTGCCTCCCCGAGCACGCTCAGACCTTGCTCTAGAACTGCTCCAGTTTCACCTTTCCTGACCACAGTCAAGAACTAACCAGCACCCAGCGGGGTTTGGGGTCTTCTGGGCCAGACGTCCCCTCTTCAGTCGCGCACACCCACTGCCTGCTCCACTCCCGTGCTTCCCGCACCCCAACAAACGAACTTCTCTGGCAAGAGCCACCCCACCTTCGCACTCCCCGGGCTCACCCCGCTCATCCCCACAGCTCTCCCCACCCGGCATCACCCCACGGCCACTCGAGCACCTGAGGTCACTCTGCCCTGCGCCTAACACAGCTTTTACCTCCCCCTTGCCCAAATACAGCGCTTTACCAACAGGATTTCATCATTTTTGAAAAAAAGAAATTACATCTTACGTACACATCTTTGGCAACACGGTATTTTTGCAGAGAAACCCCGCTCTGTAACACGCTGCTGCCTGCCACCACGTGCAGCACCCTGCAGGGCGTTAGGCACGCCGCACCCGAAACCCAGCTCTGCTAATCCTGCCACAGACACAAACCCCACCTCACAACCTGCCCCGCTCCACGCAGGACGCTGCTTCTCCCTGCCCCACAGCAGCCTACACCACCCATTTCTGCGCAGCAAGGTGCACCTTATTTACACAGGTACCCTACTCCAACACCAACGCGGCTGCCACCTGCTCTGCCCTCCCGAACAGCAGTCACACCGTGCGGGAAGCGGCACCGCGCTGACGCGTTGCTCTGTAACTCACCGCGAGTTCAACTCGGAGTCAAACAGAACCAACGCCATTTCATCAGACAACCAAAGGAACCTTCCGGCGCTTCCTAGGAAGCAGTGAGAACATTCCCCGCGGGAAGGAGCTGCGCTGCCCGCCCGGTGTCCGCACTCGGCGACCTGCGCCAACAGCCCGGCTCGCAGGGCCCGCAGCTGCCTCCTCGCCACGGCCCCGCGGGCACCGGAGGGTTCACACACACCGGTGCCACCCGCGTTTATTTTGAAGAGGATTGTGGGGGCAGCGCCGAGCCCGATCCCTCTCACGCTCGCCCTTTGTCATCTCTTTAGAAACGTATCACTAGCAACAACATTAATACTCAAGCATCCTCTTTCAAGCAGCGAGAATTCTTTCTTTTCCCCTACTCCCAGAACAAATTCCACCCATTTCCCGGGGAACTGATCCTTTATTGAGGAGCAGCTCAAGCGTCAACGCTTCCTGTGAAACACTACATCTCTGTCCAACACAAAAGCCTTTTGTCCCCAAACTCGCCGTTTAACAATGCCGCAGGGGCCAGCAGAGACCAAGACCCTGAGCAACAAATGATGACAGCCATGCACGTTTTTTTAAAAATTTTATTTGTCAAAGAAAGAAAAAGCAATAGCCAATTGAAAACCTACTTAATCTTTAACTCCAATTTTTGTCTTTAAATTTAGAGAAATGACTTATTTACTTTTTTTTTTTAAACAAACCCCCCTTTTTCCCCTTTAATGTTTACCATCTACTCGTGCTGAATCCTTCCAAGGAGATTGCTCCAGCGTACCTCTCCAGGTCCTCGCTTTGCTCCTTTTACCAAAAAAATGAAAAACTCCATCGCGCATCTTAAGGGCTCCAATCGTCAAAAATAGGAGAAAAAAAAAATCTTTGGAATAGCCAATTGAGTTGAATAAAAAAATCCACACGAATGCGGTTTGGTTGGGGCAGGAATCCACTCCTATGTTCCTGGTAATTTGATCCCGCTCCATGAATCCTTGTAATTCAGCCTCCCTATCCTATCCACATTATGATTTGAATCCAATGATCCAGCTCCAAGGATTGGGATCCAGTGAGCCCTCTCCAATCCAAACCTTTATAACCAGCAAAACCAAAAAAGAGGAGGCAAAAAGTTAGATACTGTAATGAAAAAATAGGATTCTGGGGAATGATCAGTTATGTTTGCCATCAATTAATGCAGATGTACATTAATAACTATCAATTCCCCAAAACAAACTTTTGAATGGCGATGCTCAGATAATTTTTAGAAATGTTAATTACTACTTGGAGGAAACATTGTAATATTTACAATATGCCAACTGAAAATGCCAACATACTCATTGCTCGTAGGGTGGTGTGCTACAGGTTTTGTGGTTGCAAAAAATGTTTATGAAACTGGAAAAGCTTACTGCTAAAGCTATCCACCTACTGCACGTCTAAACTATAGCTAGCACTCCCAGCTGGAAGGTAACAAAATTAACTAACCGAGTTCTCAAACACAGCCGTGAGTCAACTGCGAATTAGTCTGAGGGGGCAGGGCTGCGACTTCAGAAATTATTCCCAACTAGGTTTTCTATTTTTGCTTTCACTCTGATACTTTAAAAATGAAATAGCAACGCTGTATCAGTCACACAGAGGACATGCAGATTTTAGCAGTATTGATATTATACTCTGATTTAAAGATACCCTTGATCTACTACAAGTGTACAAATACTACATAACATTAACACTTGTAACCAAATGCTGCATGACTAAGTAAACCAATACTCCCACCCCCAGCCCAGTTTATTCCTTTAAAAATCTAGAACGGAATAGAGTATTACAAAAGCAAGTATTTAGCCACAATTGCCCCCCCAACAAAAGTTTTAAAGAAAAGAGCAATTGCGGCCTGCGGTAACTACAACATGCCTGAAGCGACACGTAGGTGCACGGACTCAATTAACCTGTCTCTCAGTATAAGGTCAATACTGCCAAGTTCATCTGTGACAATAGCACTTGGAGTCATACCATTGCCTCCATTATTGATCTGATCCTCCTCAATCCTCCTTTTGACAATCCTAAAATGATTGACATGTGCTCCACAATCCTTTAATCCAAAGCATTCTTAATCCATCTCTTCAGATATGTCTACAGAAAGACACACGAAAAGGCAAGATAAAATATAAGATCCCCCAGAAGAGACAAGTTAGCCACAAACATCCCAACATCCCCAGCTCGTATAAACCACAGCTGAACACTGAGACATTTACACAGCAATACCACAGCTTGAAGAATGTTGGTATTTAACTAGAACTGAATCGAAACAATCCTGACTGACACCAATTAAAATACAATTTACCAAAGACATGAGGGGAATGTTGATGTTAAGGAGCAGATACTCACTAGGGATTTTACACAAGAATGCAATTCAACACTTCAGCCAATTTGAATAAAACAGTTTGAATTAAAAAAAAAAATGAAAGACTCTACTAAGTAAAGGAAAACTGTGTACAACATGGGGTTCTACAAAAAGATCAGAGCTAGTGATCATTTATGTACGAGATCGGGATCTGCTGTGGCGGGGAGAGTAGCGTGGAGATCCTCTGCTTCTTCTTGGGGAATAACTGCGGCTTCTGCTGTTGCTTCGACTACGGCTTCTGCTACGACTACGGCTGCGTGACCGAGATCTTCCATAGCTTGGACTTCTTGGGCCATCAACTTTAACACGGATGTAGGCAGTTTCTCCCTATTGAATAGACAGAACTTTCGATTGAAAAGTCTAGGCTTTAGGGCCATCTTTTTAGGCATGCTGACAGATGAAGATTATCGTTTACTACAGCACGGAAACAGACATCCACGCTTTAAAGTCTATCTCCTGACAAACCGACCACAGACTTAAGTTAGCTGCCTTGCACGTAAACGATGAATGCCACACATTCCTTACCTTCAAATCCTACTGTTAAGCCCCTTGTATCCAATTCTGGCCAAAGAAAGTAAGTATGAAACCTACCTCGTGAGATCTAAATTTAGTGTTATCCAGTTTTCGCACAGCGTAGGTCATATCTTCCTTCCGTACAAACTCCACGACACCAGTGCCATCTCGGAAAACATCAGCATAACATACATCACCTGCCTCACGCATGTGATCCTTTAAATCCTGCCAACTCCCACTCGGAGGCAGCCCTAGACGAAAAGCGAGGCATTGCTTTAACACCGGGCTACGTTCTCCCTGCCTGTAGTAACAGCGTCGGCTCGCAGCAAACAAAAGAGACTATTTAGCAAGCAGAGGGGCTGCCTCGAGGAGCTGCTCGCATCGCACGGGCGCAGCATTCCTCCCAGGCTACGCGAGGCAGAGCTTTTTTAAGAAACGGCTTAGGGCTGCATCCCCCACCCCCTCCTCGGCGGGGAAGCCGCAGAACCCCTCCCCCCGACAGGGAAGCACCGGGA